AGGCACATGTGGCAGAGCCCGCCCCTCTCATGTTTGGTAGGTGGCATCTGTTGTGCCCAGTCCCCTGGAGAGGAGAGTGGAGGTGGTTCACACTGCCCTTCTTTAGCTGGGCTTCAGATGGGGATGGGGATGGATGGGTGGGGGCTGGAACCCCAGTGGCTGCGAGATATGGAGACGGTGTGTGTCCCGCAATGTCGGCATGGCCACTGTCCTCCCTGATTTGAGGGCACCTGCATTCTGAAAAGGGTGCCTGCCCAGCTGTGAGCTGCCACTGTGTCCTGCCCTATCTGGCTACCCCAAGTGGCACGCTGCTGGTGGCGTGTGCTGGGAGGGGCTTTGCACCTGAGAGCCTGCCCTGGATGGCCTGGCTGTCAAGTGGACTGGAGAGGCAACGGGTGCTGGGAAGGCTGCGGGGCTTACACGGGCCTGAAGGTGTGGTATGAGCACGCAGCATGCCAGCTGGTCTCAGTTCCCCGCTGAGTGTGCCCACCCACCATTAATGCCAATCTGGTCTTTCTAGATTGTGATGGGCATGAGTGAGACCCAGCCGACTGAGCTAAGTAAGTGTCCTGTTTTGGGACTAGCTCACCCTCTAGCCTGGCCCCAGACCAGCACTGCCCACACTCCTTGCCTCCAGGTGCCTCAGCCTCCCGGTGGTCAGGACTGGTCCTGCAGACCCTGCTCCTGGGGCCCCTGGCTACTCAGGCAGCCAGGGGAGGACCGGGTGGGCAGCAGGAGCCCTGCTCACTATGTGTCTCCCTCTGCAGGCGCACAGCTAATGCTGACAGCCGGCCCTGCCCCTGCCGGCTTCCCCTGTGGATACACTGCTGCTCCCACCTTCACCCACACTCCTGTGTATGACTTCAGTGTGTAGTGGGCGCTGTCTCTCCATGGACCCTGTCACTCTTGGGCACAGAGGACCCCAATGGGAGGCAGGGACACCCGGACATTATTTATTTTTGCTGAAGCCCAATGATGGCAGCCTCTGAGTCATCCTGAAGCCTGGGGAGGCCAGGGTAGACCCCCCACTCCCCAGGGTAGACACTGACTGCCCAAGACTAGCTCGACTCCACCAGGGAGGTGGACCTCTGCCTCTCGGCCCTCTGGCTGGAGCCAGGCGTCACCAGGGAGGTTCTTCTCAAGGATTCCCTGTCGCTTGGGGGGAAGGGCACCCTCCTTTCACCCCACGCTGGCTAGAAGTGCTTCCTCCAGGCCACTTCGGAGACACAACATAATGCGTCTTGTATGGAGGTGCCAGAGTTCCTAACACGGCTCTGAGCCTCCTGCCGATCATGAATATTAAAGTCGGTTTATCCAGGCGAAGTTTCTCTCCTTGGTGCTGGTGTGGGTAGGAGGGACAAGGGCCAATTTCATAGCCCTGCAGCCTGCTAAAGATTCCCTGGGACCTCTTTGCAGGTGGGGACCCGTGTCTGCCCAGGGAAGCTGCCTGGGAGAATACTACGGTTTGTATTTGGAGTCTTTTCCCGAGCTCTAAATCC